GTAGAAAAACAAGTGGTGTGCATAAACCAGAGGTCTTAAAATTCTTGGTGGTCTTTGGATGCCTGCAGCCCTGGCAGTAGGATAGGAAGAACCAAGGCATGCCTCTTACAGGAGGTTCTTTATAGAGCAATTCACACAGCCCCACATAACTTCCAGTTGTACCTCTTGATTAGGGTTTATTAGTTCCAATACATTTGATTTTATAGATGCCTTTAGAATGCAGTTCTGCCCTGATGTTGCAAGTGATAGAAAACATTTGAGAAGAAAAGATATGGTGCTAATCAAGTTTTATTTTCTAGGTACATCTCAGTCAGCCCCAACTGGCCCCTATTCTGTGCAGTATAAAGACACTGGGCAATACTGTGTCTTTCCCCACGAGAGCTGGTCTATTCTTCTCACCCAGTAAATAGTGTTGGCTGGTATTCGTTATCATATAATGCCATCAAAGAAGTATTTCCTCAGTCAAGCTAACTTCATTTGTAATGCAAATGGCAATGGAAAGAAAGCAAGTGCTCTTCCAGAAGGCTCAGTGTGGGTAACGGTTACAGGTTGGGTGCTGGAGCTGGGGAGCTACTTAGTGTGAATCAAAGCATTTCCTTTCCTTTCTTGAAGCTTTTTCTTCATTTTGGGTGAGGTGATTACACTACACTACTACACTGTGCTGTATATATATGCACATAGAATGTACAAGGAAGTGCCATCGTAAGTTTTGAATAATGAGAAGGAAATGTGCTTGCTCACAGAATTCTTTCCCATAAACTGTAGGATTGCTGTCACTTGGAGCTCCAGTGCTTTACTCTTAATAGGATTGAATTCTTCCCCTAATGCATTATTCTCACACAAAGAATATTATGTTGATTGTATTGAGTAGAAAGAAGTAAGGTCATTGAACAGTGAAGCTTTGACTTTATTACTGAAGTTGGAAGGGATTGTTTTTCTTAGGTAAGTACAGGGATATTGATAGGTAAACTATTCAGTGTGTTTGTTTCAGGTAAACATTTTGCTGTAATTCAATTTGAGAGGGATCTTTCTCTTAAAAGCATTGGATGTGTCTGCATACTAATGAGAGATTGTGCTCTTTAGTCTTATATACTGGAGTGATTGAAAACAGGTCATTTAGTGCCAACAGAAGCTTGTTTCCTGTGTAATTATGAAATGCAAAGATAGTGCCCAAAACAGTAATCAGGATGCTGACTTTGAAAACATCCTCTTTTTGGAAACATGAGTTATGTTCGTTCTTGTGTTTCTTGGGATGGAAGATTAGCATACTTTAATGTGTGAAGGAAAAAAAGAAGAATCTGCATGATTGAGAGAAGCAGTGCAAATAACTGCAGTGCTGCAGATCCTAGAAGGATGGAAATCCCATTTCCCAAGTGCAGGTTTGTGTTGGCAGTGTATGAAAAAGACCAAAAGGAGATTGTTGTTCTCTGCAGTCTCCTCCAAAGCTTTAGGCAAAGCAGGAGGTTGCTTTGTAGGGAGCAGTGTTTGGTGTGGCAGTGAGATAAAGAAGAAATCAGTTGATAGTTAACCTGTGTTCTGGAGGAAGTGCTCTTACACCAAAGTATTTGATCTGTGTACCAGGGTTTGGTTAGTGCTCCTTTCAAGCAGACAGAGCCAGTTATTTTTCCTGTCTAACACCACATGAAGTGCTGCAACTCCTGTTATATGAAGTCTAACGTGAGCCCATCTCCCAGCCCCATGCACTGCCTGCCCATGCAGTGTGTGAGCAACCTGCCCGTGGAGCTTCCTGCACATGGGTACAGCTGGGGCTCGTCTCATGGGCTCGTTTCCCCTGCTAGGTGGCACACTGTAAAAGGATGACTTTTTATTTGCTGATTTTCATTGTCTTTTTATTTAAGTGAGTCTTTTAATTTAAGTTCTGGAGGAACATCTTATAACCCAGCCAGAATTTGTATTTGTGAATCTGTGATAAAGCAAAGTGCTGTACTTGCTGTGAAATATAAGCCTGGTTCAAAGCCCTCTCGAGCTCTTGGAAGTGTTTCCATTGATTGCAGCAGGCTTGGATCTATTCTTATTTCTGTGAAAATTCTGTAATAAATGAAGCTGCTTTAGACCTTTGGGAATGACGGATAGCAGCTGTAGGTAGAGTGCTATTACTGTGGTGCCAATAATATCCAATTGTATTAGGGCTGTTACAAGGTGTCTGAGGGAAATGGATCTTTTCATGGGGAAGAGATGGTTTCAAAGTTCCATGGGGGGTGTTTAAGCATTTAACTGCTGGTTTGTACTGGTTTCTGTCATGTTCCCCCATTCATCCCTTTGGTGAGCCAGCAGCTCATTAGATACCTCTCTGGATTCCAGAGTTTAGCTCCTAAACCAATTTATTTAGACCACTGGTGTCTCACAGAAGGGACTTCATCTTGCAGCAGCCTGAGTGTGTCAGCCTTGTACGAGAGGCTGTGTTTGGGAGATAGTGCTCTGTAAACCACGGCCTGTGCCACGTTACTGGAAGGCACTTCTGGCTTCCCCCATGTTGACAAAATGCTTTTGATATGCCTAAAATGGAACGTTTCTTCTAGTTTATTTTTGCTTCTTGGTAAAACACATTCTTCAGATTTCTAACTGAGCTTAAAGGAATATGTTTTTCTTTTTTTGGTCTGGTCTTCTGTTTGTCCAGTCTTTTGTTTTTACTTTTTTAGCAGTGCTGTTGATGCAGCTCAGAACATCCTTATCCTTAATTGCTGCTGCAGAACCATCAAAGAGGCAAAAAAGCAAATGTTTTTGTTGAGCACAGAAACGTGGGCTCTTAGCAAGCCCTTAACCATGACTTTGATTTCAAAAACCTCATTTTCTCCTCTGTTTCCTTTCCCTCCTCTATGTAGGGATTCTGAGGAGGATTGAGCTGAAAAATTATATTCTCTTCAGTTATCCAGAGCAAGGTGCATCTGGCAGTGGTGCTGGTGATGCTGGCTTAGTTCTGAAGCAATAAAATGAGCTCAGGACGGTGAGAACTGTCTGGGGCCTCTTCAATCTCCGTCTTCTCTGCTGAGCTAGATGCCAATTACTATCAATAACAGTGGATGGCTTTGATGATGTGGAGTCTTCTAAACCTGAAACTGGAATGAAACTGCTAACTCATTTTATGGCTGTTACTATACAGACATTCCAAAGCGTTCATTTGTCATCATTACTGGCTGTCTGGGATTTGGGTCTGAGGATTAGAAGAGAAAGTCCACTTCTTTTTGCTACTCTTCTTACAGTCCTGACCATCAAAATAGGTATTTAATCTCCAAATCTAGGAAACTGTAGCAAAATTAAAAGCTGGACATCAATCTGTAAGCTGCCATCTCTCTTCTCGAGACAGGGCTAATATTACTGTCAGTTTTGTTTGGTTTTTTGTTTGTTTAAATGCAAACAAAGTTGTGGTTTGCGGAAGTGGGCTTTTTGTCTCTTGTTTCAGACAGATGTCTTCAGATTCCACTTATTTATTTACATTTTTAAATTATATTATTACATTTTTCCTTCTCTTTCCTGAGGTTTATTTTGGGTCTTTGACAGTATACCATATAATATACAAAATATAGCCCAATATACATAATACTGTCAGACAAATTAGAAACAATATGAGTTGTCCTCGCTGGTTTAAATCTGTCAAAAACAAAACATAAGGTTTTCCAGGTGCTAAGTTATCTTCCTTCACTGCTCATGGGAATAGTGTAACAATGCATTACATAAAATGTCCAGGTATGCTTGCGTATCCACGAAATAACTTTTTGACAGTAAAAATCTTACTGAACTGAAATGAGAATGAGCAAATAGTTAGAGTTTTTCCTCAGAATGAATTAAAAAATAAACTGCACTGAGTTAGCTGAACAGTTCACTTTGCAATATAATGCTCTGAGTTTTCTAAAGTAACAAACTGGCATGTTTTGCCTTGGTTGGGACGTGTCACTCAGCATTCTGAAGCACTGTAGGGACATCTGAGGTAGCACTAAAGAAAGCCAGTGACAACAAAAGAATCATTTATAGGCATGATACCATCAGCGCTCCTGAAATTTAAACACAGTGTTTCAGTCATTTTCCTTATCCCATACATCTTCTTTGCATTCATCCCCACCTCTGCTCTGTGCTTGGTTTACTTACATACAGCCGCAGAAATCGGCCTTGCAATTTCTTTTTTGAAAGCTATTCCTCATGTTCAAAGGTAGAGAAGTACAAATATGGTTACTTTCTAAGTTGTTTCAATTTGACACATCCAAATAGGATCCTCTGAAATCTGTTGAACCCTGACTTCTGGCAGTATTTGAATTTGATGACATGTTTAGCAACTGTAACATTTAATATTGATTTAGCTAAATGGATAAATAAAATATCATAGGAAACCAATACAACAACGAAACCACAAGCCTTCCTCCTTGTCCTGCCTCCTTGCTTCAGTTCTGTGTTCTCTTTTGTGTGGATTCCCTTCTTAACTGGGGTTGGGAAACTGTGTTTTTGATTCCTGCCTGCTCTGTCCAGTTTGAAAATCTAACCTTAATATATCAATAAAGATGAGAAATACTGTTCTTTAGCAGAGCTTCGTGATGGCTACTTGGATGGAGTCCAAGCTCCTGTAGTGGTTGCCTGTGGTGAAAGCCCAACTGCTTTGCGTACGGCAGACCTCTGGGCCTGGATGGAGCATGTTTGCATGGATCCAATTAGAGGATCAAAGCCCTCATTAGCTCTGCTCAGGCTTTTGTTTGAAACCAATCTTTTATTTGCACAGACCTCTGCTTTACTGCAATGGAGGCGTGTAGCTGTATCACATGAATTTGCAAACAGGCTGAGCAGAGGCTGTAACCGCCACATTAATTCTAGCTCTCGTGCCACAGTGGAAGCTTTGCAGCCCACCCAGCTGCCTCTGGCACACCCAGCCCCATGTATACATGTAGAAACAAAGCTCATCTGTCTCCTTCAGCTAAGAGTTTTGTACTGACCATAATTTTAAAAATGTCATTCTTCCTTTTTGTCGCTGCTTTCTGCTCCTGAATGCACCGTAGGATCTGCACCACTTGAGAACCTGCGTTTTCCAAGAGGCTCTCTGTGGATAGCTGGTACTCTGCTCAGTGGGGAACGGTCAGAACAAGAGGGGTTTTCCCAAGGGCTGACATTTCTGTAACAATACCGGTAAGTGCCTGAATAATCCTAAGGGTAGTTTCACATGCACTTTGAGCCAGTATAAGCAGACATGACTGCCAAGAGAAGCAGTTCAACCCTCTCCATACCCATGGTTGCTTTTTCCCATTTCTGAACTGTCCTCTTCAGTGAACTCTGTTGTTTTCATCCAGATAAGTTCCCTAGTCTGCTTCCTGCTGGGCCACACAGCTGCTTGTCTGCACGTGTGGGAATGGAGCTGGAAATGAACAGCTGGAACCTGGGAGGAGGGCAGGATTGTCTGCTCTGGTGGCTGTCCTAGCTTGTGCCAACTGGAAGTATGTGAAACTATTGCCTCACATAAAATGATGTGATTTTGCATCTCGCTCTTTTAGTTCTTCTTGGGGTTCCCACTTCAAAGTGCCTATGCTGTGGCATCTGCTTAGAAGAACTGCAGTGGGAGTAATTTTATGTATTAGAAAATGGACTCAGTTAATAAGGGTTTGAGAAAGGGCTGGATCTTCTCCCTCACATCTGGAAATCTGGAGTTTATTGTAAGGACAGAGTTGGAGGGATGGTGCTGGCAGCATGTTAAAAAGAGCACCTGGGGACATGGATTCTCAGGTCAAATGGTTTGGGCCTTTTTGGTTTTGTGCTGGGCACGCTGCATGATTGACTGTGAAGGGACCTGTACTTATGCAGGGCCAGCTTTCCTCAGCCTTACCAGTAAAGTCATTGCAACTCAGATTTAAGTTGCCAATTTTTTAAGGGCTGTTACAGTCTTTAGGCTGCTAATGACTCCTAAAACACAAAGTGAATTCCTATTCACTGAGACTGAAACAAAAATAAGAGAGCTTAGTGCTTTTCTACTGGCTGTTTTTCTTGCCTTTTCAGGGGTGAATTATTATACAGAAAGCTACATATCCACAGAGGCATACATTATAATAATGATAACTGGAAAGGGGCTTCCTGTTGAGGAAATAATAAGTGCATCCTAGGTGGAATAAGCCCATAAGAGAGGAAACACTCTCCTGTCTGTCCAAGCATAGAGCTCTTCTGTGGGAGCCCTGCTGATTTCTACATTCAGCGTGAAGGAGAAGCTGCTTCTCACAGCACCCATCTCTGTCTGTGCTGGAATCTCTGCATGGACCCCCAGGTGGGAGGTAATAGAGCTGTGACGTGCATTTAGCTTGCTCCAGGTCCCCTCTGCTGTGGCCTCTCAGGTGGGAGCCCTGGCAGCAGTGAGGAGGGTGTGCTGTTGCAGCAGTGAGAAGGTTCAATGAGATGCTATCCATGGGCTGCAGGCGTGCACCTCGTGCCGTGGGAGGAGAGGTCCTCTCGAGGGAGGTGTAGGGTCTGGGAGTTTCATAGAAGCAGAGCTCCTGAAATAATAACCGCTCAAATCCTTTCCTCTGTTAAGAGCTGTTTCAGGGGAAAGAATGAGAGGGAAGCCTAGGAAGGTTCTTCTTTGTTTTAATAATGCACTCTTTGGACAACTAAGGTCATTTGCTGCATTGTATTTACCCAGAGTTGCTCAGGAGTTTTAAACTTTGTTTTTTGTGAGAAGCAGGGAAAGCGTAGCAGTTCTGGCTGGACAGCAGAGAACCATGCTCAATGTATGTCTGATGAAAGAAAGAAAATAATAATATGATAATTAAAGCAAATTGCTGACTTTGGATTAAAAGTTGCTGTGAGCTGCTTAGAGCATGGAGCTTTGCTTAGCTATGGAGTGATTGTGCAGATCAAATGCACACCCAACCAAAAAGAATTTTTTGTAAAAAGTGTTTGTGAAAAGCCAGGATTGTGCAGCAGCACCATGACAGCATCCCTGCAGTGTGGCTGGGCAGCATTCCTTCAGTCAGTATCAATAAAGCATAAATGCAGGCCAGTCAAAATCCTCCTTCATTCAAAACCCTTTTATTCCAGATAGTAATAATAAAAAAAATTCACAGTTAATCATTATCATCTTGTTCCCATGCTAGGTAATTAGTATTGCATTGTTGCTTTGTGCCGTTCCCTATGTTCCCTTCATGTCAGAAGAGTTTAATTGACATTAAAAGAAGAGGAAATTAAAGGGATTTTAATCAGTTGGTCTGTCCTATCAGCTTTAAAAAGAAAAGCTGGAGTAATAGAAAAATAGACTGGTGTCTATGCTCTCTTATCATCCATTTTGCTATTCATTACTGAATTGATGAGACTATCTGCTTTGCATTTTTAATCATATAATTGATTAAAGTGAAATTAAAATACTCTGTGTTTTCTTCCTGTTAGTGAGGCTTTTGACTACCATGATCTCAATTTTTTTCAGTTTTCACTGAAACCAGCACTGGGAGTAAGAAGTGGGCATCAGTATTCTTGAGACATCTATCAATGTCTACAGCAAGATCCCATCTGATAAAGAAATAGGTAAGAAACTAATGTTCTTATCTATGCAAACTCCTAAGTATGTACTGCAACATTAATAATATGCTTTAAGTTATTCACTTCAATATTTTCTGGATTGAAACTTTAATGCATTACACTTGCATGGTCAGCAAATACTCGATGTCTTGGTTATAAGATGATTGCATTGAAGACAGCAAGAGAGTGATATAGGTTACAAAAATACTTTAAACTACACCAGATATTCAAATTCTAAGGAAATTCCAAACAATAACTCCTTTGTGTAATTTGTTCCAACAAATAAAATTAGTTTAATATGTTTTAATGATTTAGGTGAAAATTAAAGAATAAGGATTCGTTTTGCTTCAGTAAAGACACTGAAGAATTCTTATTCACATTCAGATTTCCTTAGAGTGAAGAGCAAATATGGTTTATAAATACAGTGTTATTAGGCCCTCTTCTTTTCTGGTGTTTGCAATAACAAAGAAAATCAGAGGACATTATTTAAATAGCCTTGGATAAATCTGCTTAAAGAAGATGATTTCTGCAATTTATTGTATAACATTCAGAGGTGAACTCAAACATGGCTGTACAAGTCAATTAATACAAAGCAAATTGTTAGGGACTTCAGGCTGTATGCACTGGAGTGAGCAGGAGGGCTCCTGCTGCATTCGGTATGCTTGGAGTCAGGCGGTGGAAATGAGATCCTGGCAGATGTCCAGTGCAAGCTGGTGGCGTCCCACTGACTCATTAGGGGCAGGATTTCACACTATGTTTCGAAAGATTTCATTCCAACAAAGTTTTTATTCTCAAAAGAAAGAAAAGCCAGAGATGGATCTCTCCGGGTCCTTTCTATTGCTACTTATTTGGGAAGCACTTAAATGGTCAGATCTGGATTTATCATCCAGACTGATGATGGGAGATGGTCTTCAAAAGCTTAATTCATCATCATTGGGAGATGAGGATCTGTTCTGAGGAGATGCTTACAAGCTCTGGCCCTACAGAATCTGCAGAGTGACACATTGGTGGGAACACAACTTATAAATGACGTATGTGGAGAGGGAGCTTCCTTGCTTAGATTTTCCTACTGGCCGTGCTGATTCTCCTTCTCCAAATCACTGACATGGGTAGATGTGTTCTGAATCCCCAGTGACAATGTTTCTATTCGTGTTTTGTTCCTTCCTATTCTTGATACATAGTAGGGAGCTGAACAAATTGGTTGTAAACAGCAGAACTCTGTAGGATTTTTCAGATTCTTGAGCTAAGCCTTTCTGGGTCTCGGAGCAACTAATGACATGTGTCTGTGTGCCCTAAGCACCAGTGGCTCTCTGTGGTGGATGTATTAGTGAAGATTCCAGTCTCTTCTGTAGAAAGGGCTTAAAGTAGGAACTTTGCATAGTATGTTATAACTTTCTGTCCAGAGACTAATGTTTGAGACATTTGGGGAACTAATTGAAGATAAGTATCAATTTTTCTGTATCTTCATTTTGGGATTGGCTGTCCAAGTATGGTATCTGAGCTAGTTCTGACTCCATTGAAATAAACATGGATTGTTTTTTTTTCTTTTATTTTGGTAAACTGTGAGTTGGTTCCTCTGTCTACAGATTCGTAATTAAAAGAATAAAAATGACTGCAGTTACTTCTATGCTTATTTTTTATTGTGGTTAAAGGCAGGAAGAGTTTATCAAAACACAAATGGAAATGGTTTGCTCCCACATATGGAGTCATGTTCTTGTGTGTAAGAAGCTGACAGACCACTTGAAGTGTGGGGCTCTTCTAAGCAGTCTTTAAGCTTTGTGTACCTAAAAGCAAATGTATTTGCACGGTAATATAGATTCCTTTCAGGTTTTATTTTGGGTGTATTTTTCAGAAGATTTCTTTGTCTTTTGAAGTTCATCATCTGCATGAAAATCACATACTTCTAGGAACATCTGTTCCTTCACATTGGAAAAATATCTGTAGATGTAAAAGAAAGAAAGCAAGGACAGGTGTGCTGTGGTTCTCTTGGGTGTGGGATGATGCTTTATCTGTAACAGCAACCATTTTAACTGAAAGGAGAAAATGTATTATTTATTCCTACTTCCTTTTCTGAAGCCTTTAGTGTGAGGAGTTCCTTGGACTGTTTTAATTTCAGGGTCTCTTCATAAATACATGCCCTGATACGAGAAAGGCTGGAGATCATTTCAAAATGTCTTCTGTGTCTTAGGTTATACTGCTAAAATAGTGTAGATGTTGTCTACTGCCTTCAAACTAGCTTTTGTACCTGAAGAAGTGTAGTGGCTGCAGTGCAGGAGTAGTTGCCTACTCCTACAAAGCCATCTGAAAGGCAAAGGTAAAACACTAGCAACAGAATTTTTTGCAGTCCTTCAAAATGCCCTGTATCACCTATTCTATAAAACGCGATGCTCTAGACAGCCTATAAGGGGGAATATACTTCCGTATTATCTATCTGCCTTTGTCAGACTGCTGTTAAAATGCTCTTTGGGATGGGTGTGGGGGAGGAGCCCTTCATTTTTAATCAAAAAGACCAATGCTGGAATTCAAGCAGAAGGTTTTTCCGGTTCTTTTTCTTTCTTTCCAATTGTAGTCTTTAAAGGGAACATGGATACCAACATCAGCAGGGAATAAACTGAGAAATGTGTTGCTTTTCAACAAGTGAAATAGAACTTACCAAATAGAACTTTCTAGCAAATAGAACGTCTTGGAAAGGAAGTTTGGAGAGACAGGAGGCTCAGACCTGTGCACCTTTGGTTAATAACTCATCTCAGTCCTGTAATAGTCCCGCTAATAAATCCCAAATGGGTCTATTACCTGGTAGTGGAGTGGAAGGACATTACACATCCCCAATCTTCTCCTGATTCCTTTCTTGTCCCTATCTTGATTCTGCACTTGATTTGCCAAAAGCTTGGCTGCAAATTGACAAAAGTCCCAGTGGTTTCATTGCAATAAACAGCTTCATGCAGGCTTTGCAGGGTGACCTGACGTGAAGGCTGGAATGATGAGCGATGCAGTCTGTGCCCATCGCTGTCTGTGGTTGCTGCCTGAGAGCACTGAGAAAATCAGTAGGGGCTCTTCTTGGACTTCAGGCGTGATTTCCCTGTGGAGATGCTTATTCTCTGAAGCTCCACTTGTGTTGTCTAAAATTCTCTTTATTTGTTCTGACATAAGAGCCTCATAATAAAAACTCTATATGCTAATTTATTTTAATGAATGAGACCGGTGGGAAGCTGTTAACACAGGAGCGCACTGTGGTAAGGCCATTTTTGTTACGTGGCATGGCTTGATCTGCCTTTTCATAGAACCTGAAGGGCAATATGGTATCATCACCAGGGCGACAGTGAGCCAAAGGAATGCTTTCAAGAAAAGTTATTTGGAATCTAATCAGTTCATGATAATGCTGATATAATTAAGTGGCCTTTGGTAGGGCGTGAGACTGAGGAGGTGTTTTTGTGTCTGTGCTGCTGGGATGCTCTCTGCTGCTGCCATGCAGGCAGGGGAGATGTGCAGCAGGGAGGTGCAGCCTGGCCAGAGCCACAGGATTGATGGGCTGCTCATTCCTTGCTCTCACCTACACCTTTTAATAGTCAGGCTCACAGTGTTTTCAAACAGAAACAGTGTCAGGGTTTTCCTGTGGGACTGCTGCACTCCATATTTACTTTTCCTACTGGAATGTCTGCTTTCTGATATAAACGCTTTTTAGGATTGATCTGTATCTAATCTGAAGAGTTTATCTCCTGTTTTGATCATTTCTCTCTCTCACTTGTTTTTTGTTTTTTTTTTTTTTTAAATCTTGGCCTTAGTCTGAGTAAGAACAATCTTGAAAACCCACCAGCAGATCTTTGGAGAGGAGCATGGTTATCTGAGGGCTTAAACAGCAATATCAGGGCATATTTGAAAAGAATACTCCTTTCCTACCGAGAAGAAGAAGCAATGTCTGTAGTTTTCTGTCAGATTACTAAATTCTCTGCCTTCTCAAGTTGAGACTGTGCCTTTGTCTCATTTTGTTATTTCAAATGCTTCTTTTCCAGACTCCTTTTGTACTGCCCAGTATTTTCTTACTCAAAATTTGTTGTCAAGCCTTTAGGAATGAAGCTTTGCCATTTAATCGCTAGTGATGGCCCCTGCAGTGAGAGCAGTGGTGAAACTCATTGCCTGCTTGTTTGCGTGTCGGCTCCGCTCACTGTGATCCCAGGCCTTGTGGGTGCTGAGCGAGGGAGCACGACCCTCTCTGCTCGGCGAGAGGTTTGAAGCAGAAGGCTGGTGTCGGTGGCCTTTAGCAGCCTTCAGCACACATTAACAGGCTGCTCTCTCTCCGAAAGCTGAGCCAGGCTGACCTCACTGACGCGCTCTCTATGCCCCACAGGCAGTGCCAGGCAGCGCACTTTGCACCACTCAGCCCCTTGTTCGTGTGCACGGGGACCAGATCCACAAGCAGTTGCTCCTTCAGAGGGATAAGGGCATCTTTTCTAATCATTTAATCTCGCCCCAGCTTAGTTGCATGTGGCACCAGGGTGCTTTCTGCTTACGGAGCTGCCTCTCAGAGGTACACTGTAAGATGAACAACCAGTGTCCAGGCAGTGTCCCAATCACTGAGCTTTAAATGTAAGTGAATCTGTTTTTAGAAATTCTAGCAAAAACTTAAAAATACCTTTGGTAATTTGGTATTTGGTATTACCAAACAGTCTGAGTTTTTCCTGAAAGTCCCTGAGGCTTAATTCAATCTAGGCAGGTTTCTCAGCTGCTAAAGCCACATGTTCACGCCTGTGCAAGTTTTACAAGACTTCCCAGCTAGGCAGGGTGTAGTGCTAAGAACAATGAAAGAAATGCAGGTTTGAATAAGAATATACTGTCAGAAAGCACACTAGGAAGCTTAGCAGTTGTATGAAAGGATGTGGTGGGCAACATCACAACATGCTTCTGGGAGCAGACTTGAAGTGGCATGCAGCAACATTTTCTAATCTTTCAGGAGCAGAGCAAAGGCTTTCAGCTCACTGCCTTTAGCACTTATTTGTCGTGAACTGACT